TCCCTACACTAACAACACACCTCAAAATCTCTCTCAAGCTGACAAAGGCAGAAAATTCAGAAATTAGGCTTTATCTTCCTCTTCAGCTTCTGCTTTTCCTCCCTAACCCAAAATTTGTTATTAAGAAAAATAAAAATGTTGACACTAGGGAGTTCTTTACTTACAGACTGGTCTTCATTGATGGGGTCTTGCACACTCCCACTGCACTGTGGGACCCAAGGTGGGTCAAACATTGGCACAGAGGGCATTCCCAGGACTGGGGAGGGCAGGGTGAAGTTTATACTTGGTGGAGGGATCTACAAAACACATGAAGAAAAAAAAATTAGGGAGAGAGAGAGGGGAATTTTAAGGGAAAATAATGATTGGTGGCATTCCTTGGTTTTAGCCTCCTTCTGCAAGCTGGGACAGAAGCAGCTGGTATGCTCAGTTCAGGTTTCAATAACAGATTGGGTTGTTTCAAACAGTAAAGTATTTTTGGCCAAAGAAGAAACATTTGAAATGGTTTGTACTATTTTTTATAAAAGCAGATTTCCCAGTTTAAAGACAAATCCACTAAACTCTGGTGCCACAGACCCACAGGATGGGGTCTTCTACATAACACAATACCAGCCATACTGCCTAGGCAACCACCCTTTATAGGGCAACATGTTTCTACAGCTGTGACACTTTCAGTGATCAATTCTCTAAATACAAAGGAAAGGTCCTGCCTCTAGAATGACAGAAAAATCTAGGGATGGAAATCTTACAAATCAATCTTTTTATTCTTCAAAGAAAACAATTATTTGAGGTATGCCAAAGGTGAAAGATGAAACTGTATTCAGAAAAAAATTAATTCACTAGGATAATAGCATATACATGGTGTAACAGTCTGCAATGAATGAACCCATTTCCTGGGCATGCATTTAAAAATTAAACATGTTAAATGAACAATTTATGATTATCTGGGATTTACAGCATCTCCAACAATGGTTAAGAACAAGCAGACAACTCCTCTGACTAAACTGCATGAATCAAAAAATCCATGATTAATCTCTATGGTACAGATTCTGCTATGTTTGCTTAAGTTGATAAGTAATAAGTTCAACAACAATAGCTAAGTTAGGTCCTATATATGCACTTTGTTGAAGCACGCACAATATGCTTCTGTTAATATTTATGAATACAATTGGAAAAGTCAGATACAATAATTCATCCTGTTTCCACAGATTGAACTACCAGCTCGCTGTATTATAACTATTGTGCATGGCATGTTTTCTATACCATTTCAGAATCTGGTAGGAGTCTCTCTGTTTTATGAAGCAGTTCTGCACCCAATAAGCTTTGCTCAGAAGACCCTCTTTTCTCTCCTGCAATGATGTTGGCATTTAACCTTCATGTCAAAGCGTATTTACCTACATGGCAAACTGTGAAGCGTGGTGATATGTTTTGTTTCCTCTCATCTACCTTAAAGATCTGTTGAGCTCCCTCCTCCATTCGAGGCCAGACTTGATATCTAAATCTCCAGAGGGTGTGGAATTTGAGAATGGCATTCAGTCTTTGCACTGTCTCAGGGTGATGAAATTCAGACATCAGCATATCAGAAACAGCCTCTGGCACTTTCACAGCACACAGTAGGAACATGGCAGCTGCATGGAGGGAACATATAATCAACTGAGTTTTTTCACAATACATTTATTTTTCAGATAAAATTGTAGCTGTATAAGAAACCCTTGAAAACAAGATTAGCTGCACATTTGGCCTGGTGAACAACAACACATTTTTAATGAACTTTATAGGCACAGATCTATCCTGAAGTGCTTTATAAAGTGCAGGTGATGTTCTTAACATTGACTTCCCTAGTCAAGAGCTGGGAAGAAAAAAAACAATTTTTTTTTTTTTTACCATGTGGGTTTACATAGAGGGATACTACAATCGAAATCATGTCTCAATTCCTGGGGAAGTCACAGTACATTGAAAAGAACATAATTAAAAACAAAATCTAACAATAAATCATGTCTTGGTTAAGCAATAACAGTAACAATAAGAATATAAAACAAGCAAGAAATTCCCTGAACAAATAAATTATGACATCCCAGAAGCTCAGACAAGTTCAGAATTCAAATATCTACAGTATAACTAAAGTAACTTCAGATTAAAAGGAAAGATTTTACAATTAGACTTAGGGCTCAATTCTGCAAGGTTGTCAGAAATCCAGGGAGTACTGGCAAAGACTCCCTTTGAAATGAAGTTAGGGGATGTAAAGGACACTAAGCATCACATATTGCAAGAACAACTCTAAATAATTACTAGCCTGAAGTTAAGTGATCTGTGGATAAAAAGTAAGTGTTTTAGTTCAGAAATAGTTACATTTACTTACCTTCTGTTCTGTCACAATAAGCTTACAAGAAGAAATAAAAATGTTAAAGATCTCATATGTGGAAATGAAAGTCAAGGCCAGTTTTTAGATGAGGGTTTCTGAATTAACTTAGGTAATCAGATGCATATGAATACCTTACTTTCTTTTGTGGAAAAGATTCAAGGCCCTGGGAGTCCGTGCTAGAGGATCCTAACGTTAAGTTGTGAACTGTGTTTGGAATGTGGTCCCTTTGCACCTAATATCATAACTGTCATTAACTAGAATGAATGCTGATGGGCTGTAAAAGTGATTTTCTTAATTGAAAAAAGTTAACGTGTTATTGTTTATTTGTTGGGGGTTTTATGGCAACATGTTGGAACCCAAGTCATGGATCGGAATGCTGTTGCAGCAGGCAATCCACAAATAAAGAACAAAGAGATGGCTCCAATCCCAAAGTGTTTGCAATCTAAATGTAAGACAAGAGGCAAGAGGTAGAGAGACAGACAACACTAGGACACAAAAGTAAATCCTGGGTTATAGTGTTATTTACAAATAGATGGCCAGCTGCAGCCTGGCTGTCACATAAAATGATCAGGGTATGACACATAGAGAAGAAATGCCTGCTATGACCTGGGAAAGGATTTGAGGGTAATTTCATGAACCCCCAAATAAATATGGATAGCTGGTAGATCACCCCAAATCTGGTGTGTTGGGGGGTGCTAAGTTTGACAATAAAAGTGGCAGTCTCCTATTCCAATCCTATGGAGGCTGTTTAATACAAATAGAGTCCTGGCCTCTGTCCTTGAAGTGTTGATAGCTCTCTAAACTGGGTTCATTTCAGAAGTCCAGGAGATATATGGTGCTTGCCAACCTGTTTTCTCCTGGCATTGATTCTGAAGGTCCTACACACTCAGGCTTTGTTTACACAGCAGAGAGCCACAAGGCTGCTTCCTTGGATTCCACTGCTCTACGGGTGTAAAACTCCTCTGGCTCTGTGGGCTGGTGGACCAGCTGTGCATGCTGCTTGTAATGTAAGTGCTGGCTCCAGCTCTGTGCACTGCATGTAGCAAGCACAAGCGCTGACCATCCACATGTGGCATGTAGGGCTAGTCTAGTGTGTGCTACATACAGCACACAGCACTGGTTTTAGGCATGTGCTACATGTGGCACCCATGCCAAACCAGGCCTGTGCACTGGATCCAGTACGTGGAGCTCGTCTATGGGCCCAATCTGGACCAACCCTGGATCTAACATGCAGGGCCAATCTGGGGGTGGGGCACCATATGCAGCACATGCCCCATACCAGCTCCACGCTGTGTAAAGCCCATGCCAGAAGGGCTCCATATGCCACATACAGCACACAGGGCCAGTTTCAGCATGTGCAGCATTGCAGTCAGCAGCACTGTGAGCTGCAGGATTCAGCTCCATGGGTCAGAAACAGCCCGGGGGCTGTATTTCTGCTAACCCTGCACTACTCCATTGTCTGTCGAGGGAGCTTTGGACCATGTTCCTTTCCCAGCTGGGTGATGTACTAGTTCTGTCTCACAGAGTTTCCTTTGTATCTCTGGACCTTCACCAGGATTTTTTTCATATGATAAAAGGTCAGAGTTAAAAGAACAAGTGCAGGTTAAACTGCTTTGGAGAAGAGAAGACTGAAGGGGGATTTTATAACACTTTTCAAATACAAAAAGGGTTCTTTGTAACAGCCCAAATCTGAAGAAAACTTGTCCAGCATCTCTCACCACAATACAGCTGGTTCAACAGAAGATATTGCAAGAAAACCATTGCCTCTGTTATAGAGAGGATGGGAATAAATTGGTCCCTATGCCCACAAGGGGCAGGAGAAGAAACAGGAATATAATGAGTGGAAAAGTAGAAGCAGCTGCACTGTCAGACTGGCCATTGGCATCTGCCTGGCACTACCCTATTGCCCCCAGGATGCTGAGGCATCATCTTACACCTCTGAGGAGGAATAATGGGCTTAAATTGCAGCAAGGGACACCTAGGTTTGATATGTCTAACTATAAGGGTGCTTAAGCACCATAACAGGTTGCCTAGAGAGGATGTGGAATTTTCTTGTCTAACCTGCACTTAAAAACTTCCAGACCCCTGACTGGAATGGCTTACACAGGGATATTTCTACTTGAACAGGGGGCTGGACTAGGTGACCTCCTAGGATCCCTTCCAGCCTTTTTTTCCTCCTAGTTCTACACCTTAATATTTAAAGAGGAAGCATTGGAAAGGTAGGTGTCACTAGGTGGTGCTATTTTGTATCACCTGAGTTCTTTTTCTTTTTGTGCCAGTTCTGCCTGTTCTCAAGTCTTGCTCTGAGTTGTACCAGTTAGGCTGGGGCTGGAGACAGTCATGCAATAAGGCAAGATGCTCTAACCCCTAAGTGAATGCTAGTCCTACCTGAGGAGAGCCATCTCGTAACAACTATTTTTGTCACTGCTTCAGAAACAGAAACCGATCAGAGCAGCTGCAGGAGGAAGGCAGTGCTCTCTTGCCCCCACTTCAGGAGCCAAGATGGGTTTTTCCGTAGACGAGGGGGACAGGAAGCTGTCAACAACTTTCTGATGGAAGGAGAGAGATGCAGAAAGAGGATGGCCCTTAAATGTGTCACACAAGATTATCTGCTCTGTACAATACTACTGCAGTGGTCCTGTCATAGGTCAACCCTATATATAAGTTGTGCGTGGTGTCTGCTTTCCTTTTTCTGGAAGGAAAAGGTTGGTTTAAAATCACATCAGTTTTTCTGAGAACATTTCAGGGATTTCTATCTACTTCCAAATCTGATATGGGGGGTTTATAGCACCACCCCAACAGAACCTCTGCTACTTTACTTCCCCAAAATCATTTAATTCAAACACCATGTTTTGCCCGTGATACTCCTTTTATTTTCAGTCTATCACCTCATTAATGTACCAACAGCTTTTCCTTTTATTTCTCTTTCCTGAGCAGTTCAAACTTGTCAATGCCATTCAGCTGCAGCCATGAGTATTGTTCCACCATGTTTCCTGTGTCTTCCACATCTTCCAGCAGGAGCTCTAGTTCTTCCATTTTCTTGCTAAGGAGCCTTGCATTAGTGTACAGATATGTGGTGTGTTGTTTTTTAGTCACTGACCACTGTATCCTGCCAGGGTTACATACCATCCTTTCACCAACTGGATCATCTGTCTCATTTTGAAATGCTGCTCTGTTGTCACATTTTGTGATGCATTTTTTGTGGGGAGAAGAGGTGGGCACACAATGCATTTTGATCTCTGCTTTAATTTCTCTAACTAGGGTAAAGCTCTTGAGGCAGAGTTATTTTATGGAAACCAAGGATTTGGAATTAGACTGAGAGTCACAAAAGAGGATTGTCTGCCTGCTATTTGTGACCACCTCTAATTAAGTCCTCATCCAAGGAAAAGATGATGTGCAAGGCCACAGCATCTGCTATGGGACAGCAATGCTAACTCATCTGTGGGGTGGGTTTTCTTACCTGCTGCTCCTGCCATATGCTCATCCACACTGAGCAGCAGTTCCCAGGCAGCAGGCTGGATGTCCCCATACATTTCTTCTGTGAGGATAGGCGCTGCCTTGATTAACAGTGACAAAGGTGCTGGGGACAGGCTCATTACCTGCAGAAAACAAAACCAAATTTTATAACTGAATTTGCAAACTAACAAGAGTGAGTAACTTATTCAATGATTTCACTATTTTATTGGATCATGAAATATCTCCGGACAGTCCTTGGTTTTAATAAACTCATTTAACACTTTGCAGGAGCATATTTCAGATTACATATGTTGTTTATAAATTATTTACCTTGATTCCGTGTCATTGACTACTCGTGACTTATGTCGTGTGGCATTATTTCTGCTCCCTAATTCAGTGACTGAACCAAGAGGAAACAAAAGGTTTTCGGAGGTGGCTGCATGAACATTACTATAATTATTCACAAAAGTCTTCACAAACTTACTACTGTCCATAACCTTGTGAAAAAAAATTCCCCTTGCATTAAAGGTGGAAGTAATTGAATAAAAAAAAGTTAAAGAAAACTACTACATAGTGCTACAAATTCACAAGTTGTAGTTAAACATATGCTCTCACATTTTTTTCCCTAAACCAGTGTCTGAGGCATTAATAATAGATCCTATCTGGATGTTCAAAGGCACAGACTCCCACTAAATTGGATTATAATTGCATATATTTAATTAAACCTTTGAGTGAAGTCAAGGTAACTGCTGTTCCTCCTTTCTCCATGGTTATTCCTATGTCACTGAGGGTTGTCATGCTCCCCCATTGGCTGCTGTATAAGTCCTGCACTCCAATTCTTTCCACTTCATATACAAGCTCAAGTTTCCACAGGCATTTCCAGTCTCACTATAAACTCAAATAAGTCTTGGTAGAATTGATATTAGTCAGCATAGAACCGTGTACATTGGCACAGCCATTACCTGATGCCTGATGTATTTCAACATTCCAGAGTCCTTCTTTCCTTCCAAGTTGATGTCTATAACTCTCTTCTTTAGAGATGGCGTTCTTAGGCATGATTTGTCTGAGCACTGAAAAAAATGGAGACCAGGCATTCAAGATTTGTGGGTCATGTTGTTTAGAAAGTCATGGAAGTTCAAGTGGAGTTCCTATGGACCAGGTGGTGTTTGCCTACGAAGGTACAACAGAAGATCTTCTGGTCTGATGTGTTCAGCAGCAGCAGCAGTAAAATGATGTAACTAACCCTAGTTCTAAGGATATTTTAAAAATCTGCTTTCAATGTTAATTTCCCTAACACAAGATCCAAAGCAACTGGCAATATGGCAAGTCAGAAGGAAGAATGTGTTCACTGAAAGTGCAGTCAGATTACCTCCTTGAAAGCTTAAAATGGGGTTCATTTTAGAGTGAGAGTGCTTTAAGAAGGTTAAATATCAAGAGTCCATAATTTCCTAGTCAAAAGCTTTATGGACAAGGAGTTTGCTACCAACAGCACTGATACATGAACTCTTTTTTTCCTCTCTTTAGAAAATAAAAGTACAAGGCCAGGCCCCATGAGGAGAGACTAAGGGAACTAGATCTCTTCAGCCTCCTCAAGAGAAGGCTGAGAGGAGATCTTGTGGTTGCCTACAAATTCATTAGGAATGAAGGAGATGCGCAGCAAAGAGCTGGAGATGCGCTCTTCACCAGGGCACCTCTTGGGGTAACAAGGAACAATGGTCACAAACTGACAGACAGCAGATTTAGGCTGGACATCAGCAAAAATTTCTTCACAGTAAGGGTGGGCAGAACTTGGAATGGGCTTCCAAGGGAGGTAGTGCTCTCCCCTACCTTGGGGATCTTTAAGAAAAGGCTGGATAGGCATCTGGCTGGGGTCATCTAACCCCAGCATTCTTTCCTACCTACTTTCACTCTTTCCTGCCCGGGGCAGGGGGTCGGACTCGATGATCTGTTGAGGTCCTTTCTGACCCTAGCATCTATAAACCTATGAATCTATATGTACATAGTCATAAAGGTAAAGCATTCTGAAACCTGTACCAAGCCAATTATTGTGTACTGCAGTAACAATGAGAAATGCACTTTCCCAAAACAAACACTGCCATGATCGATTCAATATCCCAGTACTGCATACATTTCCTTAATATCTTGGGGTGGCTTCAGTTTTTAGCCTATTAATTAATGCATGAGAGTTTTAAAACTGGGTGTTAAATCCACTAGGGGAGGTGCCAACTGTGACCATACTTCATAGGAAGTGCACATGGGGGTGAAAGGAAGTTCAGATAGCTGGGAAATGGCTCCCTAAATGGTCACAGTATGGATAAGGGAGTTGCAGCATGGAATAGTTTGACAACTATCAAGCTACAGATAAAATATCTTTATTAGGTAAGAAATATATTAATTTCTTTCCCAACAGATTCTTGTGGGAGGTAGGTAGGTTTGTGCAGATGCCTGATCACCTGGTAACCTTTTCTTTATTGTTATTGTTTTATAGTCTTTTGACTTGGATGGATTATGAAACACTGTAGTTTATCACTTGGCATTGAAATTCAGTATTTGAGATGAAATACACCCCCAGGAATGCACATTAAGCTCCTTAGCTACCATGTTGCCAGGTTCCCATCTCTGGCTTTCCTGCTGGCAGAAGTGATAATTGTTTCCTTTCCTAAATGCGTAGCTGCTGCATTGCATTTTGTGTCAGGGGAAATAAATGCAGGTTAGTGTTCTTCAGAATGTACAATCACTGCCCTTTAATTAGTTTCCTCTGTGCTTTGTTCCCTATAACTATATCCAGATTCTTAACTGGACAGGCAATTAATGATCTATTGTTTGATGGAAACATGTTATGAACTCACAATCACCAATTCATTTTCTGTCCCCAGGGATGAGGAAATCTTTGCCCAATTGAGATTATGGCATGAATTTAACAAATGCCTCTGCTTTCAATTAAGGCATTATTATTGCCACTTGAAAATGTAAAACATATATATATATACACACACACATATATATCACATGTATTCACAATACCTGCATCCAATCCATTCTGCTCTGGAACATAACTAACAACCTGTTATAGGCCCTAACTCAACACTATGTAAAGTATATGCCTTTAAGCACACAAGTAGTACCACTGAAGCCAGTGGGACTACATATTAGGGGTTTAAAATAAAGCACTTGTCTGTATATGCTGCTGAACTGGTCTATAATGTGTGATACAATTGGGATAATATAGTTGGGGATGGTCCTGCTTTGAGTAGGGGATTGAATTAGATGACTTCCTGAGGTCCCTTACAACCCTAATCTTCTATGATTCTATGATATATGGTAATTTTTGCAACCTAACATTAAAAGCTACAGTTAACCCTGCAACAAATTAGTTATGTACTGGCTTGCTCACCTCTTTCTGTTTTTTCCCCCTTGCCACACTATTCAGTGTGTTGCTTTCTCGGAGAGAGTCCACTGTGTCACCGTACAGGAGTTTGATGGCCCGAACTAGCCGGGCACAGGAGCGGCTGTGGTGTAGATAGCAATGGGGGTGGCAGTAATCAATGTGGGTACATATAAAACTCTGCTGGTTGCACAGTAGGATCATGACCTGGAAAGCAAAGAAGGGGGAGAGTTACCCATAGAACAGCACAAGCTAGGGAAGGTCTATGTTTTCATTTTGATCTAGTAATACAGACCCACCTGAGTTAGCTTTAAACTAGACAGTTCAGTTGTCAGTAGCTGCCCAGCCACAGCAGCCTGCAGTTCAATGCATAGGAATTTACTCTGCAGCTTAAATCGGTTTTACAGCTCACATTGAAGTCTGTGCTCCTTCTTTTAGGCTGATAGTAACACCTGAGCTAGCTGGTTTGCAGGGTTGTGAATGCAGTGCAGACATGCATCTAGATTTGTGGCAAAAGAAGATCCAAGAAGACTAGGGCTCCCTTCATTTCATGTAAAGACTCTTGTATCCCAGAACTTCAAGCAAGAGCCAGGGGTTATCAGTTATTTGACCATCATTAGATACTGCTCCACCACTAGGCTTTTCACTCGATTTCTTTCAGGGAGGGGGTATTAGGGCACCTGTCATTTCCAAAGTGGGAATAAATCCCATCCCTTTCTCATGTGACATCAAAAGATATGGCTGCTGTAACTGCAGCTGGTTTTAAACTAGCCATCATGGGTGCATCCAGATGAGCGTGGCCATGTGGTATGTGGCACCGCAAACACATCTGCAGTGCCACATACTGCACAGTCAGGTGCTTTCTGTGCTGCAAGGGCATACTGCCCATATGTGCGCTGTTCCGTTTTTGGTTTTTTTCCCATGGGTTTTTTTACCCTGGGGTATCCAGGAGTAAAAATAAACTGTGGTAAATCCCCCAGAGCAGTGCATATGCAGGCAGTGCACACCGCTGAAAAGCAGAGCTGGGCTGCCAGGAGCTGTGCTATGGCTGCCAGCTAGGCTCTGCCAGGCAGGATTGCTGCTGCTGCAGCCCCCGCCAGGACCCCAGGTAAGGCTGCTGAGGCCAGCACAGTGCTGGCCCCAGCCCACCCTACCACTGCCAGGGTAACTTGCCACTTGCCAAAGTGCACGTCGCATGGGCGTTCCCTGGGGACAAGTAGCTGCGGTGCAAGGTATGCTGCTACTACTTGTCTCCGGGGAACCAAATGTCTGCACTTATTTGGATGTGGCCCATGAGTACTGGAAGTAGCGTGGGCCTGCAGCAGCATGGATGTCAGCCAGGCTACAAAACCTTCCTTAGAAGCTGGGTAAATATTTGGGTATTTAGCCTATACTGAGCTTCATGCCACTGCCACTGGACTGCTACCGGAGCCCAAACTAGCCTGTGAAAGAGGCCTCCCCTTGCTCACTGCCCTTCTCAACCGCTTGTTCACCCCTGCACCTGATTTTCCCACCTGTTACCCTGGCATCATCATTATCTGCAGCTACAAGGGACACACAGTGTCTCCAGGGCTAGTACAACACAGTAAGGTTGTCAGAAACTGATCATGTATGAAAATCTTGGACAGTGGGGAAAATAAATACTAACAGGTATACAAGAGAGACTGAAATTGCCATCCCTTCTGAGGCATTTGGTATATAAACCTGTTTTTTCTTTGCTCAGATAGCCTGGGATTTTATTCACCTTATTATTATTCAACAGAGCAAAAATGTCTCCTGATTATTAGTGATGTTGGCCTCTGCATGGCATCAATTGCAGCAGATGATCATCAAACTCCTCCAGGCTTTCTTATGCATGCTAAGCACCAGGCAGGCAGAGTGATCAAAATAGCCTTAACCTTTGCTCCAATTTAGGCTTTACATTTGTGAATCTGCAACCTCCTAAACAAGTGAATGCATCATAACTTTGACTGCATTACTGTTCAGCTACTTGTGATCCAGTCCTCTTTCTGTAGCTGCACTCTATTACCTAAATACTAGTCCTCAGAGAATTCTGCTAACATTTGCAAAGTGGGCACGAGCTTTATTAATATTTATTATGTTATTTACTATTAGTATTACAGGAGTGACTGGAGAGAGAGAGAGAGAGGATGCCCCAGTGTTCAGGGTGTTGGGAGCCTGGGACTTGAGAGACTTGTTCAAGGCTGTGGACAGAAGTAACAATTGAAACATTTCAAAAGCCTTGGGAACACTTCAAAGGGCCAGCTGCACAAACATACAGGCCCTTTGAAATGTTCTCAAAAAAGCTGAAGTGCTTCAAAATAGGACCATTTGAAATGAGGTACCATTCTGAAGCATTTTACTTCCTGTTGCTTATGTAGGGACTCCAGAATCCCACAGTGATCTGCTCTGTTCTCTCTCACTCCATGGGGGAGGGAGGGAGAGTGAGGTGGAGGCTCTGCAGGCTGAGCGACAGCGTGCCAGATTGTGAGTTTCTGGATTCCACTCCCTGGTCCCAATCCCTCCTGCATTAAGAGGTCGGGGGCTGCTGCTGATGCCAAGCTCCCCAGTCCCAGTCCATTCTACCTCTCTGCTTCTGTGTCGGGGGGGTGGAGAGGTAGAGGGGATTGGAGCTGGACTGTTGCAGTCTCAGCAATGGGGAAGAGGGGAAAGTGGGGAGTCCCCTCCACTGCCCCTCTCCCCCACAACTCCTCTAAAGCCAACTTTTACCTCTGGTAGCATGTTCTGGGTGGAGAGTCATGGCTTCATGCAGCTGCAGCAAGTATTCCAGCCCAGGGATCCCACAGGGGCTGTACATATGTCCTTTTGTGAAAGGTTTCCAAGCCCATTTCACTGAAAATTTTTCAAAAGTCACTTCTGTCTGCACCCTTAAAAGTGTCAGCTTTTTGCTGACATTTTTTTGCTGAGGAAGTATGGTCTACTGGCTGGATGCATTCTGGGATTTTGGCAACCAGTTTTCATGTCAATGCTCTGCACAGGCTCAGTGTGTGACTGTAAGCAAGTCACTTAGCCTCTTGGTGTCTTGACTTCTGATCTGTAAAATGGGGATAACAACACTGTTCTTAGAACCTACACAATGGTTCTCAACCTCATTATACTTGAGGCACCCCTCAGAAAATGCCAGCTCTTAGTTTTCACTTTTTTTTTTACTAGAGCCATCACATAGAGGCATTTTTCTTTTGCCAGAACTCAGAAAACCCACAACAGGTCATATGCATTTAATACTGTGGATTCCTATTTTAAATCTCTGTTTTTATCTTGTGAATCATGTTTCCATGCCTAAAAGAGAACGCACCCGCACCGCATCTTGTGGCACCTTTGAAAGGATCTCAAGGCAACCCATAGTGCTGCAGTGCTCTGGCTGACTGATCTAAACAAACAAGACAGATGGGCAATAAAGTGAAGTACTTTCCCCATTTACAGATGAGGAACAATGTCTCTCTAATAGCTCCAGGTACAGAATGTTAAAAGCCTAATTCCACAATTAAGTGAGCATGGGGTTTGGAACAGGTTACTCATAGTGCATTATCATTATCATTCCTTTTTGCCACTGAAAATGTGAAATCTGGGAGCATTGCAAATGACCTGTACTTACATGCAGCCAGGACATGTTCCGATGGTAATTCTCCTCTGTGCCTGTGCTGCTCAGCACCTCGGGCTCAATGCTAGGCTCACTTGCGCTCCAAGGGCTCCCTTCTTCAAAAGAAAAATACCCAAGAGGTGGTTGTTTTCACAGCTACCTATGTGCTTAGTCTAGGGAAAGCACTTGTAAGCCAGGCCAGACTTGCCAAGACCAATCAGTGCGCACATAGTTGTGCTAGTGAAACTGCATTCAGATCCCCCTTTGCCCCCTGCCAGCAGCTGGCCTGGCAATTACAAGCACCATTCACAGTCACTGTTAATTCACCATCTAGCCAGTGATAAATACTGCTCCCTTTTTTGGGAGATGGGAGGGAGTAAAAACAATGGAAACAAATTCCTTGCATCATTAAGATGCTGCAAATTGTTGATTCAATGATCTGCATTGACTGGGCTCTGTGATTAAAAACATTAACAAAGATCCAACCTGAAATGGCATCACAGCCTATTGCTGCTACTACCAATGGGCAATAACATTGTTAAGTGCCCTCAGAAGTTACTAATGTACACGGGGATGAAAGGGGAAAAAAATCCTAGCTCTAGTCTGCACACTAATGCTAATGAATTGTGTGGGGAAGGGGAGAAAGCTCTCTGGTTAGTAACTGGCCTCATCTTAGTGTATCTGTTTCAGCCCTATGATTCATAAAATCATAGGGCTGAAAGGGACCTCAAGGATCATCTGGTCCAACACCCTTCCTGAGTGTAGGAATGTTTCTCCTAAATCATCCCTGACCGATGCTTATCTAGTCTCCTCTTGAACATCTCCAGTGAAGGAGAGTCCACAATTTCCCTGGGCTGTCTACTCCACTGCCTTACTATTCTAACAGTATTCTAATAGTTTCTCCTGAGATCTATTTTGCTGAAATTTAAAGTAATAGCTTTACATCTATAATATTCATATTTTGAAGAATAATTTGTGCCTTCTGAAGACATTTTATTATTAATGGTATTAAGGAATGGCCATGGCTTAACTGAGGTTAGTTATTTCTCCTTTCTCCTTTTAAAGTAAATTTGCTACTTGAAAAGGCATCCAGATTAGGAGCTCTTGCTCCCATAGCTATCCACAGGAGAGGTGCAGCAGAGGCAATGCTGACAGCATCAAAAGAACCTCTAAAATTGGGAGATTAGTTCAGTCTTGACATCTATCCACTTTTTGTCTTGTCTGTTGACATCCTTACCAAGGATGCCATTTTGTGCCCATGGTGATGGAGATCTCTTATGATATGGCACAAAATTTGACTCCCACAAGAAAAGGAACTGGATTTTTGAAGCCAGAGGACATCATATATAAAATGTAATATTTTAAAAAATTTTACATATATGCCTATGGAGAATATGCTACACACTCATATGACATATATGTCTACAATATCATATGATATATAATATATAAATTGTGCATGTCAGCATATATATAATATTTTATATAACAATTATTACCATGGATAATAAACTAAGATATATAAAATATCCTATATACATGTAATATCATATGATTTGTTTATATATATGTCCTCCTAAGTACAAGACACATTTGGCTGGCAGTCCGGTCAATGTCAGAAGTTTAAGGGTTCAGGTCTTAACAATGAGATTTGAACTGACAACTTTTGTGTGGGACAGCATTTACTTTCCAGGGCACCAATGGCAGGATCTATACTCTGTCCTTCCTAGTTAAATCATACAGTCTATGAAGAGGAAAAGACCCCTGGCTTCACTCCGAGATTTGGTGGCTTTTTTTAACCTACTTCACCCTTGATGTTTATTTATTGTTGCTAACCCTGCTGTATCATTTCAGAATTTGGATGCTGTCTAGTCACCCCGCTCCCTTTGAGCCCAACTCATCTAAGTTACCTATGTCAGTGACAGTGTCCCTGCTGTGGGACAGCTGCAGCTCCTCATTCTCAGACTCTGAGTCCTGCCGTGATAACTTGGTGCTCTTTAGGCTGCCGGCCCGGCGAATGCTGGATAGGGAACCCCCCTTCTTCACCCGGAAACTGCGGGTTCCTTTAATCTGGAGCAAGCGGGAGCCTCCTATCCTGATCTTCCTGCTGGGAACTGTATTGAAAGAATAAAAGAGGACTTTTTTCCCCTTAATTTTTCCCCATTTTATGAAAAGAAATCCTAACCCGCCCTCCCTCCCTTCCCCTTCTTGCCAGACTGTATTGCAGCACCTTTACTTCTGTCAAGGAAGATGGGCAAGAGGATCCCTCCAAAGCCACCGCCAATGCAGTTCTATCAGTCAGCCAGTACGGGACGCTTTATAAAATTGTGCTCAGTACCTTCTTTCCTGGAGACATGTCACATCAGGTCTAGCCTTTTCTATACTTGAGATTAGCCCCGCATCAACCCCTGACTTCCAGAAAATGGAGTTAGCTGCACTGGTGGAAACCCCAGCTGTAGGCATGAAAAGCAGTGGTTCACACTGTTTAACTCCTGCTTGAAGCTGGAATAAACTCTGCTGGTGTAAATCATGGTCTTTTTTGCCCATGGATGGGGTTTACACTGGAGCAGATACTCCACATGCTGGTGACCAGTGGTTGAAACCCAAGCATAGACAAGGCTTCTCTGAAAAACCTATGCTTCTGCTGGCCAAGGGTCTGCAAACCCAGCTCTTCTCCTGCAGTAGGATCATCTTATTTCATTCACAAAGCATATGTGACTGCAGATAGGTAGCCTGCTTCGCCAGGTTAGCAGCACACATGGTTTCTTTGAAGTTAGATTTGCATAAATCCATGTCTTTGCCTGTTACTCTTCATCATTAGAATGCTTTTAAGGAAACAGAGCATGTAGTTCCTCTCCTTCAGACAAGTGAGCAGCTTTCAGGCATTCAAAACATCCATTGACACTTTGCATTTTTGATGAGCACAAACATGAAATGGTTCAATGTTCAAAGCACTGATCATTTGTACTTTTTTCTTCTCTTGCTTCAAAGGCAATACATGGAGATATATGAGTTCAAATGTTGCAACACTCAGTCATCGTACTGTAGATCTATTCACAGAGTACCATACATGATCACTTTTTGGCACTCTGTAGAGACTAGAATAGTGTATGTCTTTTTGTATACCACATGCAAGAAAAATATATAAATGTAAGTATATTTGGATTGATGAGTCATACATAAGAATTCCTCCATTATTCCAGTTTTACAATGTCCTATCCCCACCCACAAGTCCATTTTTGTTGCAAAATCCTATTGGTTGGGCAGAGCTGGACAAGTCTCCTTTTTGGAGCTATTCAGAACTGCTTATTAATCAGCTGGATAATTCACTTCTGAGTGACTTGAGGATCTGTCTTTCAGTGACCAAGCTGAAACTAAAACTCCATGAGAAGAGCTGGCTAGATTCTGTTCAGATGACCCTTAGCAGGGCTGGTTAGATCTCCTGAAATACACGAATGCTTTGCTGCACTTAGCCATACTTCCATGTAGCCTGCAGCACACAGTTAGCACATAAATGCCTCCAGGGGCTAAATTCTCATCTACATTGGCATATCTATATGTTGCACCTACCTGTAGCAGGTTAGGGATAGTAAAATCGTAGTTTTGGCATAGTTGTTAAGATACACTTGGGCTGACCAATGAAAGCAAAGTATTTACCATTCAAAAGGAGATGAAAAGAAAGGAATGGATTAGCACTTGGTCAAAGAGTTTGGGGTAAAGAGGCCTGTCCTTGTCACTGTAGGTGAGAAAGATTGAGTTACAATCACACAATAAAAAATTTTAGGTAGGTAATTACAGATTGAAGAAAAAAAAGATGCTTTGCATCTGCTATATTCTGGCCCGGATAAACTCCCAATGAATTAAGCTGTGGCCAAAGGAAACAGCAGTGCCTTTTTATTTCCTTTTTTTTTTTTTAAGAAACATGACAACATCTTGCATTTATTTAGCATATTTCAGTCCAAAGTAAGGCCAAGTACTTTGTTAACTTGTAAACTAAAACTCAGTCTTTATGTTGGGATTACTTTTCCCACCATTAAATAATGTGCAGTTTTAGAACTGCTAAATTACAGCAAAACCACACAACATCTTAGGACAAGAAATGAAGAAGAGTATGTGTACTGACACAGGAGACAGAATTTAGATAGGCAGAACAAACTGGAATGTAGAAAAGGTACTGGAGTTAACACTGCTACTCTTGAAAAAAATGCTGAATTTTACTTTGTCTAAAATGTCTGCAAAGTCCCGTGCTGGGGCAAACCTACTTTAGTACTAAGGGAAAATGGTGCATGTACTGACCTAGCACCACCATCTCCTGTTCATAGAAGGTTTCCCATTCCAATGATATCTCCTAGTCTTAAAAGATCTGCAGCCATGGGCAGATCCAGGATTTTGGAATGAGGTTTGCAGTTGCCACAACTGGTGCTGCAAACTTCTGCACTCCGCTTTATAACCGTACTGGGGTGGGCAAAGCACACTGCAGGGGCAGCATCTAGGAACGTTTTTTAAGTCCCTGAACCAGGTATGAATCCTCCCTGCTCTGCTCTCAGCCCCACCCTTTCTTCTGCTCCATGCTCAGCTGCATGTCCCCTCCATCACATTCCTCCGTTCCACGCTCACTCGCTGCTATTGTCCCCGCTGTCCTCAGGTGACCTGAGGGCAAAGGGAGCTTCAAAGTCACTCGTCTCACTCCAGCTGGGCCATGGTGGGATCTGGGTTAGCTGAGAACAATGGCAGCAGCAGTGGCAGCAGACAGGTTCCCCTTCCTTGTACCTGCCCCCCAGCTGGTGGGAAACACCTGGGGCATTGGGCAGAGAGAAGGAAGCTGACCACTGTTGTCATCAGCAGGGAAAATGGGAAGGGAGGGGATGTGCCAATGGCCACAGAGGAGAAAGGTGCAGGGGTTCTTACTTACTTCAGGGACTTAAAAAAGCTCCCTGGCTGCTGCTCCCACAGCATGGTCCAAAAGTGGGGTGCGACCATACCACCACACCCCCTCTGGATCTGCCCCTTGTTACAGCAGTTACTGTGGAAACCTTTTTTTTTAAATCATTTTATCCAACTCCATGTTAGGGATTTCTCATGCCAATTTTGGGGGGAATGTCAGCTTCTGACCATATTACTTCCAGTGCCTGATAAGTGGACCAAGATAAAAATTAGTTTGTGCATGCTATCTTTAGGATGACTCTTTGCAGCTTGATGGGAAACTGCTATCATAGCAGTCACTGTCACGTTCCACAGATAATTTTAAAAGCAGTTTATATACAACCTAAGTCTTAGAAACACTTCCTATATGAATATATTTACTTGTAGGTGGAATTATTGCTTAATAATCATCAATATAAAGCTAATGTGGATCTGTTACAAAGCCCTTTACAGTTACTGGGAATTTCTGTGGACTGCAAATACAAGATCTTATTGAAGATATCCCTGGACTACCTGCTTTAGCATACAGTATAATTCTTTATGGAATCATGCCATAGATTCCATCCCAGTAACGCATGTTTTTTTAGAATCTACATCTTATAAAGTCTGCATCTTTATATGGCTATTATGCAGCTGTTATACAACTTTTAAACAGTTCATTTTGCAAATGTTCTAAGCTATAAATCATCGCTTAGAGAGTCAACTGGAGAGTCACAGATAACTGTTTAGAAGATTTAGCCTCTAATTGCACATATTAACTGCTGACTGCGTATTGTATTGCAACACTTGTACTATCAGATAGTATGAAGTTCTGCATGAGATGGTTTTAAAATGGAAAACATTCTGCTGTTGTCAGCAAACACAGTGCGCTTGAGGTTTGCTTGTACGGTATACATTATGTTGGTAACATTAACCCACTAGCCATCAAAAGCCACATAGTTATGCGTTTTTCATGTGGTAGCAAAGAATTCAAAAGATCAGGTGTTAAACTACTGATTCAGTTAAATGCCATGAACTCGAAGCTTGAAGAGGTTTTTACAGAAAGGCCCCAATCTTAGCATGTGTAGTTTTCCTACGTAGATGAATTGTATCACAGCACAAAAAAAAAAAAAAAAAAAGCAAACACTGACACTTCTAACTGAAAACTGCAAGAAATCTTATTATTCCCCCCATTTGGTTCTGGTAACAGCACTGGTCTGTAAACTTAGAAATCTTTGCTTTTCACATTTAGCACATCAGACATTGGAGGCAGCTCAGAAATGATTCAAGGCATGTGGCTCTATGGCTTCCTGCTTTTTAACACAGTCTATGGAAATGGAGACATAAAATCCAGCGCCACATAACAAGCCCTGAGAATATGGAAGCTTTTTTTTCGTGCTGACAAACCTTTCTTCTCTTCACAGCCAGTGTCAGATTTGAGGGTGTGGCTGCTGCTGTGCAGAGAGTCTTTTGAGTCTTCATTTTCATCAAGAACCCCAGCAAAGCTGATCTTCCTCTCATATCTGTGCCGGTCCATCTCAGGGTCCAAACGCAACCTGCAGCTCTCAAGATCCTGCAGCAGCATGTGTACCACAGAAATGCACAAATAGAGTAAGCCCTCATACCCCTCTCCAGCCACAGAAGCCTATGATTTTAGCAAGAATTTCCCTTAAATAACAATCATATTCCTCTCAAATAAATTCCCTAATTACATCTTATCTAACATACACTGACACACACTGAAATCCAGCTCTAGTTTGGTTTAACGTATCTGAATGGGATAATGAGAATACTGAATGTATTGTTGTGATGGAAGGAGTTAATGACTGTAATGAGGTCTCTGCTCTACAGATAGTCACAGACCTTAATGCTGATATATGCACTAAGCCCCCCTTTTCAGAGCAATTAAACAGGAACCACAATTAAATCCCCACTTACGTGATGACAACTGAAAATCATGGGAAGCTACTACCCAAGACTCTAGATTATATGGTACAACCTAATCAGTACTATTGGCTTATCTACATTATGAAGCTACCCCTACCATAGATGCTGCTGGTATATTATGTTGGTTGAATCCCCTATCACAGATGCCATGCATGACAATACAAAGGAAGGCGCTTTAGTGGTATAGCTGTGTTGCCCAGGGGAAAGGGATATTTGATCTTTTCACAATGCTATGTGACATAGGTATGTGCCAGAAAAAAATGGTAGTTTAAGACCAGATCTAAACGATTTGGCCTAAGGGGTTCTCCTGGGACTAATGCCAAACACAGGGGCTAGGGGATTAGTCACAGCTATGTTTGAGTGTGGATATGTAAGATGCAGAAAAAAAAGTGAGAGAAGCAGTTGTGAGAGAAAGCAGAGATAGAGAGTGTCTTGAGCACAGAACTGACAGGAGAGACACACTGGGAAACAGCAAGCAAGGAAACTTCTTGATGCTGTTTGTTTCTACTGTGCTCAGAAAACAAGACTTTTGTAGATAAAAAGCATTGCACAAAAGAAATACCTCCTGAAAGAAACAGCCCTGCAAGCCCCTGAATGTTAGCTAACTTCTTGGGCAAAGGAGGTTAGTATACCAATATTCTATTACATACTCATCCATTTTCTCTAAACACAGATTGGAAGTAGAGTATGATAAAATCCCTAGAGGGGGCCTACTTCCAAAAGACAAACCCACAAAGTAAGTCCCCTGCATTTAAAAATGTATTTGTGACTCCTTCTTAGTGACACTGATAACTTTGAGAATACTCAGCAAGGGAAATGTCTAGAAATGTCAAATGGCAGAGATCTGCCTGTCCCAAAGTGCACCTCTGGCTTTGTGAGGATCCCCTACAATGCACTATTCTTGGGACATAACCAAGGATTTCTCACACATGGATGAAGATCATATTGGAACCTAATGGCACCTGTACATGTGCTGGACATCTGCTCCAATATATGCTAATGAGCATGCATTGAAGCAGAATTGATTAATCGATTAACTGAGCCTGCTGAAGCATGTTAATTAACTTGCTCCAGAAGCCTCTGTGTCATAGGCGACGTGTGGGGGGGCATGTGCCCCCCACCCCAAGATTGGCCCTTGCCAGCCGAGGAGTGGGGGGCAATAGCCGGTGCCCTCCCCCCCTGAGATTGTGGGGGCGCCGAGAGAAGTGCCAGAGGCACTTCCTTCCAGGTTTGCCACCAGCACTTCTGGTTTTGCTGCTGGCACTTCTGCTGGCAGCAGCGATTGACTGCTGGGGGACCCCGCCCGGCCAGCGATCGACTGCTGGTGCCCCCCAGTATCAGGAGGCACTGGTTGCCATGCTCTGTGTCATATCTATTTGGCATTCCCATGCTTAAAAATGGCAATGGGGGCACTTTAACTAAAGCTTGTCGAATAACCTTTAGTTCAAAAGCCCCCACTGCCATTTTGAAGTGTGGGACGCTGAATCCACGTGACACTGTGGGCGCTTTAATTAGAGTGGCTCCAAGAGCTGCTCTAATTAAAGTGCCCCCCCTCTACCCCAAAGCATATGTATAGATGCCCTAAATGATTAAGGACAACGAGAAAAGTTTAAAGCAACTCAGCCTGGCTAATTCAGATGCACTGAATTGTTTATGCTTAAACTGCTTCAGCTGACTGGTTCAGTTACAGATCTGTCAGTCCTTCAATGCTCACAAGGCCGTACTGCCATCAATAAAATCTGCAGATGTTTAGAATAGTGCAAGGTCAACCTTTCATCCAGAAACTACAGCATGGAGCAAAGGAAATGAAAGCTGCTGTACTGGAATTTTGTCTTTCATCAGCAAGAACAAAAACTAACTTCATCGTCATGTACCTGCATCTCTTCTTTAAAACAAAAGCAAGTCACAACATTTTTCTTGTATAAAGAAACTTCACCTACTCACTTCCAGTTCAAATATAACAGGACTCACACATTACTTCTTAAATGTTATTGGTTTAATGTCTGTTCAGTACATGTTCCACATTCGCACTGTTGCCATTCTTTTCTGATGGACTCTGACATAGCATTGCCTTTAAGTTTCCTTCCACCTGCATGCTACAGAATCATTCCTCTCCTCCCACAACAGAGTTATAAAAGCTAGTAATCAGCAGCCTTTTTGCCTGGTGCAAAAGCATAGTTTCCTATTGACCCTAATTACTCAGGAAGTTCTTGATTTCACACCTGCCTACTTTACTGAGATGATTTATAAGAGTTGGTATTATCCTGCTTTCTCTTATAGTAATTTATTACAGGGTGAAAATGTCAACAAAGACTTTGCAAAGACTCACAATAATTTCCTCCTTTTTAAGTCCCTCTTTTCTGAATACTTTTTCCTCTGTGTCTCTTCTTTTTCTCCTTTTCCCTACCACCCTTTCAGTTCCTTTCTGGCTCCAACTCAATTTCTGCAGGCACTTGGCCAACAATCCATCCATCTTCTCTACTGATCCATCTTCTGTCCCCCTTAATCCAATTGCTCCAATCAATTCACTGATGACCAGCCTCTCCAATCAATTAGCTGCTGCCATCCATATTATTTACCTGCAAGAGATTAAAATCTCTGCCTCATCAAACCCTATATTCATTTCTCCAATCTACTGTTTGCCTTCTAGTCAGCTTCCAAACCTTGTGGTTTCTAGTCTGCTTCTCCAGTCCATCAATTCATTCTCTCTTCCTAATCAGTTCTCTGATCCTCCCCTCCTTCCCAGTTCCTTGTTCAACTGATCCTTTTTTTTCCCTCAGTGAGACTCTACATTAAATTCCTGCT